ACCTGCCCTGTTTATCCATGACTCGGGATTAGGGTTTAGGGTTTATAATTTAGGATTTATGAGGCTTCAGGGGGTTTGGGTTTCAGGGTTAGGGAGTGCTCTTGATGAGGAGTGGAGTCATTCTTTGTGACAGAGAGCAAAACCCTCAAAGTACCCCGAGTTTTCGGAACAAATGGTGCTTGACCTGCGCTCACTGTTGAGGCTTCAAGTGCTGAACTTGATCGATGCAATTCCGTCGAAGAAGGCGCCGGGCTCGGAAGCTGCCACTGCAGTTCCACTGAGTTCCGCGTTTTTTTTTCAGGCCCTTCAGGAAAGCTAAGTTCTGAAAGGGTGCCGGCACATAGCGTCCGACGAGATTCTTTTAGTTGAAGCCAACATGCCTCCCGGTCTGTAGCCCCTGAACCGCGGGTGTGGAGAGGCCATCAGTGCCCAGCTGGCGGACTGCAACCGACTCGTGGAAGGCGCTGCTGCAGTGCTTTTTGGCCATTTGCATTCTGAAGATTGCGAAGAGATGAGGTTGAAAACAGACTTATACATCAGAGTCTCAAGGTGTAATGGAATGAGGTAGTGCGCTTTCTCTTTCGGTCTTTTGCTTGAGTGTTGAGTCGTTGAATCTCTCGCTCTCTCTCTCTCTCTCTGTCCTTCTCTGGCTCTCTCTCCTTCCCGCTTTCTCTCTCTCCTGCTCTCTCTCTCTCTCTCTCTCTCTCTCTCTCTCTCCATTGGAACCCTGTTTAGTCACCCGGGTGCATGATGATTTGGGGTCGAAGTGCAGAAGAACACAGCTTAACAAAGCAGCCAGCACTTTCCTCTCCTCCGTGCGCACGCTGCACCAGCAACCTGCCGAAGCTGCTGCACCCTTTCTGGGCCTTCTGCGCACCGGTGGCCCTGACATCAACATGGGATGCGTTGGCATGGAGAAAATACCAGCAGTGCCTGCGAGGATTATCAGCGCTGCGCTCGGAACGACAACACTAGTTGCCCTGCCTGTTTACGCACCCCGAAATTTTCCGTACCGTATGGACCCGACCTACGGTGTGGAGGATTCGCTTCGAGAATGCAACAATAGTCAAGGTTGACGGGTGGCTCCTCCTCCGAGAATGCCCATGCCGGATTCGACGACGCTTACGCGAGAAGAGTGGGCGGCATGGCAATCACCCTGCATAGCTAGGTCAAGTGCAACTGCAGGCCCTTGTTTCATTCATGGCTGGAAGTTCCATGTGGTTGCAAGCTCAAGGAATCTAGAAGCCATGTCGCGATGGTGCTTGGTTGGAGTATTCTCGATGGAGGCGACGTGCCTAAGGCTTTTCCACCCAAAGCTGATTGAATTTCACCTGCGCACTTCGTCCGGGCTGGGGCATGGAGCAAATGGGAGCAACCGGATCCCTGGCTCTGTACACACGTCGTTCGCATCCCAGTGGGCCAACAGTTGAAGACGCACTCGCGACACCTCGAACAGATGGAACAGAAAGCAAGGAAGACAAGGAGGAATAAATAGTCAGACAAGGAGGAAGAGGAAGCAGTGATAATTAGAAGCAGTAGAGGTCGGTGTAGCAGGGGAGTTCCAGTCAGCGTCCACATGTGAGTGCTAGTGATCTGAGCAAGCAGGCTCACCAAACTCAGCGAATGCTGAGTCGCAGGAAGCCATCAAGGCTCTCCAGCCGGGTTGCTGACTTGCAGACTGACGCATTGCAGATTCATGATGTGTGTTTCTTGCGCATGTGTTCCACGCCACACACACTAAGCACTATCAGACTTGTCGGCTGATGATCGAGGGCAGCATGTGTCGCAGCATGCGTCAGACCATGCCATCAACTTCAACAGATGTGACACCTCGATTTGGAAGGAGACTGCTGAAAGCCTCAGCGACGTGAAGGAGGTCTTGCAGGACCCCTCACGTAGGAGAAGCAGCTATAAAGTGGAGCGGTCGCTCATAGGTGATTCTGCAGCAGAGATCTTGTATTTTGGGCAGATTGTGGGTGGGGTTCAGTTGAGGACGCCACGTGCACATGTGAGGTGAGTTCGTTGATATCCATGGATGCGCATCGTCAACACTCTAGCATAGGGATGACCTGGTACCAGGATCAAGCAGACACATGCAAGAATTCCTATAGATACCTCAAAAAAGGAACGCAAGCATTTAACCAAGAGAACTGCCCATTGCATCCCTAAACCTAAACCCTAAACCCTAAACCCTAACCCCCAAACCCCAAACCCTAAACCCTAAAATGAAAACGTCTTCTGTGCCAGGCTATCCGTGTGCTCGTCAAGGCTCTGCTTGCCCGTTGGGGAGCTTGCCTGGGGTAGAATCTCCTTAAAGAACCCCCCCCCTCCACCCCCAAAGGGGCACTCACATTACATTCCAACATTCATTGCGTGCTTCATGTTATTCAGACGTCACAAGATCAGTTCCTCCGCTGGGTCTGTTGGTTTGGTTTCGTTTGGTAGACAGGGAGATTGCCGCAAAGGCTGGTGCCCAGACGCGCTTCTTGCTGGAAGACCTGCTCGAGCCTGCCAAGAGTCCTCCAGTCGCCAGGCCAGTTCGTAGGCCAGTGTACAGTGGTAAATGATGGTAACATGGGAGTGTCAGAGTTGAACGAGGATGCGGATGGCTGCCTGCGTTTTGCCTTGTGTCGGCTGTTGGATGAAGTTCAGCCTGTAGGCTTTTGTAGAGAATTGTAGAGTTGGAGAAACGTCTCCATGTGCCGCAGCCCCATCTTCAAGTCTGCCGTGCAGCCGGCAAGGCCGGGGTGACGCATGCTGGCTCTTGTATATTTTTGTTCCCCACCCTCGGTGTGGGGTTGTTAGATTTTAAACTCAACTCTGCTCCTCGCCCGGAACTCTTCTCCTCGCCCGGTCTACTCCTCGCTCATCCCTGGAGTGCCCAACCCCAAAGTGTCCCTTGAGTGCCCAACTCTAAGGTGTGCCGACCCCACACAGAGTGCCCAGCCCCAGAGTCTCCCTGGAGTGCCCAACCCCAGAGTCTCTCTAGAGTGCCCAACCCAGAGTGTCCCCGGAGTGCCCAACCCCAGAGTCTCCCTGGAGTGCCCAACCCCAGAGTCTCTCTTGCCCTGCCCAACCCCAGAGTCTCTCTAGAGTGCCCAACCCAGAATGTCCCCGGAGTGCCCAACCCAGAGTCTCTGCCCAACCCCAGAGTCTCTCTAGAGTGCCCAACCTAGAGTGTTCTCGGAGTGCCCAACCCCAGAGTTTTCTTTACAGTGATGCCCAACCCAGAGTGTCCCCGGAGTGCCCAACCCCAGAGTCTCCCTGGAGTGCCCAACCCCAGAGTGTTTGTAGAGTGCCCAACCCAGAGTGTTCCCGGAGTGCCCAATGTGCCCAACCCCAGAGCCTCTCTAGAGTGCCGAGCCCAGAGTGTCCCCGGAGTGCCCAACCCCAGAGTGTTGCCGAACCCCAGAGTATCTCTACCAAGAGAGGTTGGGGATGTTCGAAGTAAAATAATTCTTATTCCTTCTTACTCTTACTCTTACCCTTATTCTCTGCGCTTTCTCATCCTTATTGTACTGCGGCTTTTGTTTCGCTCTGTTGTTTTTGTTCTGGCTGGACTTGGGTTCAATGCTTCAGAGAGCTTGTCAGCGCGCACCCCGCGCTCCATCTGCACTCATCTGTGGCTCCTGTAGCATGGATTGGGAGGACCTCGCCCAAATACAGCTTAGAGGAGGACGAGGTTGGTGTGGACGACGACAGTGCAGATGAGAGCTTTACAAGCTGAGCCAAAGGATAGAGTTCAGCTGCCATCTCGGGTCTTTCAGATTTGTAAAACGTCCGCATTCCAAGGACCGTCCGGGGGTGTTTGGGTTTTCCAGCTTGACCCGGGCAAAGGCCCTGCACGGAATTTGCGACTGTCAGTTTGTTGGCTGCACACTCTCTGTTGCTCTGTGGTCTCTTGGCGCTTCAATGCACGAGAATGATGAGAAGGAGAACAGGACGACAAATGTGTTCCCATTATCTGATCTAGACTGTGAAGAGTATGGTCAACGCGAGACTTGTGTTCAGTGCACAACCTCTCGGTCCACCGAATCGACAGAGAGCCTTGGCCTCTGTGAGCGACAAAAGTTGGGGCCTCTGTGGCACCCTAAGTGATCGACACGCGTTTCACCGGAATAGTGGATCATCATCCGACGACCTCTCGGTTCTCTCACAGCATGTGACACAAGTTTCTGTCATGTACTGAACGATTTAAGAGCATGCACATACTTGCCACGAGGGATCGATCCTCAAAGATGTCGCCAGTCCACATCTGTGGTCAGCAAGCTCTGCGATTATGAAGCATCACGTGGACCCTTAATTTACTTTTGGAACGCGAAGGACCTTTGTCGTTAGCGTCAGCCAAAGAAGTTGCAACAACTTGGAAACACCTGATCGTTAAGAGCGGCCTCCCCCCGTGTGAGCGCTGGCATACGCAAAGCATCGTCAGAACTGTAGGCTCATGCCAGCTAGTTGGCTTTGCAAGGCGACTGGCGACCAACCAAGTAGGATGGCAAACGATGCGGAAATGCCGCCAAACCATCGTCCAGATGGGAGTCGAAATGCTGCAGGGCTATCGGGCGCTCTCACACAGCGTTCAGGGCTTTGCAGGCTGTGCAACTTAGGCAGGGATAGCAGGGCCAACGTGGGGTAAGGCGGAGCGGTCTTGCTGAGATGCTATAAGCCAGTTCACACTCACAGTTGCGCTGTCGGGTTGAGAGACCAGTTTACAACACCGTAAGAAGTATAGTAGCACAGTTTCAGAACAGGGCATCATGAGTAGTCCGCTGCCATGTCAAGTAAAACACACTTACATTTCTGCGTGCTCCGCTACCTTTCAACATGAACATCTTTCAGCAACCTTTGCGTCGGTAAGATACCGACGGGGTCCAAACCTTATACCCCCCCTGATGTGTGAAGGAACAAGGTAATGTCATTTCAACGGTTCCATGCGGCGTCGAACACTTTGGCCGAGAGTCTCGATTGCGATTGCAGTTTTTTGGCTCTTGCTTCGTGAGATCTTACAGCCGGTTCGTACCGGAGGCCGGCAAGGCCGTAGCAATAGGCACGATAGCCAAGTGATGGGAAGCGGGTGCACCAAAACTTCCGCGTCCTCCACGAAGGAGTTTGCGAAGGAGGGGGCGCCATCACCCGAGAGTCCTTTGAGGACAGAGGCCTTGGAGACTCCTCTGCCGAACGTGCCGAACGTCGTGGACAAGGAGGTCCATGAGGCTCATGGAGCTCTTGGGGCTCCTGTGCAAGCCTCGCTTGGACCGCTGGTTACAGCGCTGGTTTCGCAGAAGCTGGACCATATTCTTCAAGAAGAGGTACCGGTCTGGGATGCCAGCTGCCGTAGCTTCGGCAGGCTTCAGTCGCAAGACGAGATGGAACAGGATGCGTCTGTACACGAGAGAGCCAAGATTCATCGTGAATTCTTGGCTCGGCTGGAGAACTACTTTCAGGACGTCTGCTCCCAAACGGGAATCAGTACCCCTGACGTTGCACAGCTGTTGCATAAAGAAGCCGCTCGGAGTGATGGTGCGCGATTGATTCTTAATCGTCTGCTGAAATACACGGATTATAATGCTTTTGCAAAGCTCATGCACGGGCACTTCTGGGCCACCGTCAAGGAAGTACGTCTCTTCTGGGACATTGAGAATGTCGGCTGGGATGAGATGCAACACAGTGGCAGAGATGTTGTCAAAGGTCTGCGTGACTTTCTGGACGCCAGGAACCTGGGCGGCTTCGCAGCGCAGCTGTGGGCCGTTGCGCCAACGTGGCGCTTTGCGGAAAGTCCGCGTGTCGTCGATGACCTGGAGGATGCTGCCATACAGGCGGTCAACTGCAAGTCGAAGCCAGAAGCTGCAGACCATGTTATCAAGGGTGAGATTGAGAAAGCTGCCCTGCTGTATGGCAAGTACGAGGTGCCAGCACATACCGTCGTCTTTATTCTAATCACATCAGACCAAGACTTCACGGACGTCCTGCAGCGTCTCAAATACGCGGGCTACAAAACCGTGCTGATACACAATGCCAGGAAGGGCAGCAGGCATGTCGATATGATGTCACTGTATGCAAGCCATGCCTTTTCTTGGAAAGAGGTCTTGCCAGCTTTACCTGCTCCAAGACGAAGTGACAGGAGCGACTGGCAGAGACTCCTCGACTGGGCCAGAGGTCGGGTCCATCCCGCCGTTTGGGTAAACGCAAGAGAGGAGGCCCCTCGCCTTTGGCGAGTGAGCCTTCAGTTTGGTAGAGGCTGCGACCCGAACGAGATTAATCTCTCCGAAGGAGAGACAAAGCAAGGAGCTGCCAGGGCGGCTCTGGAGTGCCTGGCAAAACTTTTGGGAGATCAGGTCGAGGTGAGCAACCTCGAGCAGCGAGTGCTGCACACGGCGCTTTCCCAAGGCGCCCAGGCAGAGCGCCAGGCATAGTGTACAGCCTTTAGGCGGAGTGCACGTCAAGCGTGTGCTGCGGTGGCCGGTTTCTCGGTTTTCGTCTGGTTGGCTGAGGAGCCCGCCCCAACTGCGGAAAGCCATGGTAGTGTCTACGGAGTCTACTGTGATCTGGTATATGCTGTTGCGCTGCAGGCTTTCGCTCATTGGGGACAGGGCCCAGAGCTTTACCAGCTCTTCTAAGCAGCAACAGTAATGTAGGTTCCAAAGCGCTGTAGATCGACGTAGTTTGAAGGCCGAGCGCTGGTCACAGGGTGGTACAGTCCCCAGGTGCTGCACAAACGTTCTCACTCTTCTTGCCCTGCAGTTCGGGGAGGGAGGAAGACATGGCTGTGTGTGGTGCCAGTGGCCGTTACTTAATGATCACGTGGTTCTTTCCGTTGAGGGCTCAAGATCTGGTCCACCCTGCAAGGCCCACAAGGCCCGTCAGTGGTCGGCACCTATCAGGTCACTTGCCAGCGTCTGTCCATTCCTGATGGCCGATGGTGCTGACGAGACAGCACGTGAGAAGGCGGCAACTTTGTCTGAATCTCATTCGATAGGATACGTGTCAGATGTGTTGGCAATTTGGAGCTTTCCTTTCTGGTTGTTTAGCTGCAACAGCAATGGGCTTTCCGGTTGAACCGGCAGGGACTGCTGAATGCCGGTTGCAGACCCGGCCTTCGTTTGATGACACCAGTATGACACTCCGAAACCAAAACTTGTCCGGAAGGCAAAAGATGTCCCAATCCAGACGATTCCGTGGTTCAGCAAAGTCTCCAAGTCATCGTTTCTGGAGCATGTTTCCCAATCAGGGCTTGTTTGTTTCTCAAATGTTTGTTTGTTTGTTTGTTTGTTTGTTTGTTTGTTTGTTTGTTTGTTTGTTTGTTTGTTTGTTTGTTTGTTTCGTTTTGCGAAACATGGTTTAGGAATCCGTGCGCGGCGCGACCTTGCCTTTTTCGGGCAGGGATATGGGCCTGTCTTTCACCCGGCACCCTCTTCTGCTTTGCAACGAGAATGCTTGACCTGGGTTTTATTACTGAGTTCAAAATAGAGTCTTAGCCGAAAGAGGCTCAGTGCGAAGAGCTGCAGGTGCCGGTGACGATCTTGACCGGCTTCTTAGGGGCAGGGAAGACAGCTGCGAGCTCAGTCTATCACCTTCCAAAGCACGAGTGCGGGGCGGCTCATGTACTCCCACGTTCGCGCTGTTCACGCCACCTTGGCAAGCGAGGCCCGGCTTAACGCAAGCCTCCGGGAGGGTGCTAATCGCGCTCTCTACTCAGAACATTTTTGTGGGGCTGTGAAGGGTCGCAGGCATCATTTTTCAACCGACGGAACCCTGTGCCTCTTCTTTTTGCATGCAAGATCGCGGTCATCGAGAATGAGATTGGGTCACTGGGTGTGGACGGTGCGCTGGTCGCGAACGCTCATGCCGAGGCCTGGCATGATTTTGACAGCTGCGGTCCCTTTGTGTTCAACCGAGCTGAGACACTGAGAGTTGCATCAGAATCAATCGTTCCTGCCACCGTGGCCTTGACACAAGGCGGATGGTGTGATTGAGCTCGCAAACGGCCTGCCCCTGAGATCGGCCAACACTGGTCAACATGTGGGAGAAGCTGGCAAGCTTGGATCTTGGTCTACAGAGCCTACAGCACGATCGCCGGCAAGATTACAGATTTACAAGTCGAGCGCACGATCTTCGCGCATAAGCTGCCTTGAGTCTACTCTGAACACTTGAGGCTGCCTCTGCTGCTCCGCGGAAGTGGACCTCATCGCCGCTTTGGAGGCAGAGGAGCTTACACAAGCTGCTTTCTGTGACAAAGCTGACCCTAGGTGCAGGTACGAACTGGAGACTTCAGCCCAGTCCTGTCGCCCCTTCTAACGAGCCTGACAAGGCCCTGGTCCGCCGCCATCGGGTGAAGCTCCTGGACCGAATCATCATCGAGACAACAGGCCTCGCAGATGTCGGACCTGCCGGGGCCCTGAAGGGCGGCTCGCTGCAGCACAGGCTCATTCCCAGTGCACTTGAAGACGCTGCACTTAAAAGGTGATCTCAATCTTGGAAGACTCTGAAGATCCGCTGGCGGAGGAGGGGAGTCTTGTCTTCAGGTCCTTTGCAAAGTCTAGGCCGCCAGCCCTGGATGCAGGACCTTTACCTAGATGGAGTCGTCACAGTGGCTGGGATCCTGGCCATGCGAAGTCGGTCGACTTTGACTATTGCCTCTGCAGTTATTTGGAAAGAGCATCAGCATCATGTAGCGTCCTCAAAGTTCGATCCGGCAGGCTCTTGTTGGCCACCTTGCGCTTGGCTCGAGTTGTCAGACCCTATGCTGTTATCCTTAAATATCCCCACGGGGGGTAAACCGCACAAGGGTTTAGAGAGGCATATGCTAGAAGTACCGCGCCTGCCACGCGAAATGAGGTTGTTCATCGTTGAAACTCACCCAATCCGTTTGATAACATTACATTTTTGTTTGCTTAAAACTCGAGTTTTAGATGTCCTAGTCGCGCGTGGTGTGTGTTTGTGTGTTTGTGTGTTTGTGTGTTTGTGTGTTTGTGTGTTTGCGTGTGCGTGTGCGTGTGCGTGTGCGTGTGCGTGTGCGTGTGCGTGTGCGTGTGCGTGTGCGTGTGCGTGTGCGTGTGCGTGTGCGTGTGCGTGTGGGTGTGTGTGTGTGTGTGTGCGCGTCTCTCTGCGTCTCTCTGTGCGGACTTTTCTTGGCTGACTCAGAAACACTCCTCACGCAGCATTCTACCCGTTGCTTCAAGCAACTTCTGCCGTGTCTGGAATCGCCACTGCCACTGCCGGACATACTGCATGATGACTGGGTTGGGCCGGCCGTTTGTACACGTGCGAATCCCATTGGGCAGCCACGACTTGATCTGCTGCCAAATGGCATCCACAGTGCCGGTGTGCACAAGGATGCTGGGATACGGACCCTGACGAACCTTCACGCAAAAGAACAACCTGAACAACGCTGAAAACGGAAGAAAGGACAGTGAGAACGTGCTTCACAACATGTCGCGATTAACCCCCCCCCCCTCCCCCCCCCCCCCCCTCCCCCCCCCCCCTCCCCCCCCCCCCCCCCCCCCTCCCCCCCCCTCCCCCCCCCCCCCTCCCCCCCCCCACCCCCCCCCACCCCCCAACCCAAAAGAACAACCTGAACAACGCTGAAAACGGAAGAAAGGACAGTGAGAACGTGCTTCACAACATGTCGCGATTAACCCCCCCACCCCCCCCTCCCCCCCCCCCACCCCCCAACCCAAAAGAACAACCTGAACAACGCTGAAAAACCTTGTGCGTTTTACCCCCCGCTTGCTTAAATATGGTAATATAATCATACTGCAACCTTACCCTCAAGCAGTTCACCATGACGGATTGCGAGGCCTAGGGAATCGAATGCTGCCTGCATGGGACAATATTCGTCAGCGTGCACTCGTGAAGGTTGAGGGCAAGAGGACGTAAAGAGCACACAAGGAAAACCGCGCAATCCACGAACTGAACAAGTGCACCGATCGTTCACCGTGCGTTGGGGAAATCGAGACGCTTGTGCAAACAATGAAGGCCCGTGGTGTGTTAACAGCGGCCAGCATCGAGGTTTCCCAGACTGCATGTAGTACATCCACTACAGTCAATACAGCGCTGTGCGGAGTCTGCATGCGCGCTTCCTCGTACCATACCATCCCCTGCAACGACAGCTGGGAGCAGCTTTAGCGGTTTCAGCGTCTTAGGGCAGCCGACGGCGCTCACTACACATCATTGCCGTCTGGTCGCTGCACACATGTTGCATGCAAGACTCAGGTGGATGTCAACACCTTGCACAAATGGGGTCGTCCAGCTGGCACCGCGGGCCAACTCCCGAGCGCACGCTTTAGAGTCCAGAGTTGGGTGCCCGTGTCAATGTTGACAGAGACTTACCAGAGACGTCATGACCTTTGAGCTGCCGATGGAAGGCGACAGCGACATGCCTTTCCAACCATGGCCAAGCACTAAGCCTTCATGCAGCTGGGAGCCACGCAAGAAGCAAGTGCCATCAAGTGCCTAAGGTCTAGCGGGTTTGGCTATAACTCCGGTTCCCCACAGGCCTGTGTGATGTCTCCTCTTTGGTTTTGGCCTGAGGATTGCTCTGCGCGGTCAGTCAGCAAGCACCGCTGCATGTACTAGGAGTTCGTCCACCGATTGCAACCGTAGCTCGGGGGTGATGGGCAGCGACCCTTCCTGAACCTTAAAGTTTATGGGCCTGAGGCGTCGGCGGGAACCGAATCCCTCAAGGCGTCCTTGGTCCACTCATCTTTGAGCTGGGAGGTGCCAAGCATGGGCAAGGCCATCGTGCTGAAAACCTTCTGGAGACAGGTCAGCGCTTTGGAGTTCACGGGAGTTAGGGAGTTTGGACTTCACTTCACAAGGGGTCGAAAGGTCTAACAGAGCAGCGGAGAGCATGCAACAACTCATACTGCTAGGCTGTGGTTGTTTGTGGCTGTTGCCTGCGTCATGGTGACAGGTGGGGGGAACAGCGTTATTTCAGTTCCTACCCAGTATCAGGATTGTGCTGCCTACATCTCTGCAGCAGAATAGAAGTCCTCTGCAAGCTCTTAAAGTCTTACTTCAAGCACGCTGGAACTGGAGAGGGCGGCTGCGGGCAAGGCCCTTACATCCTGAAGCCAAAGCCTAACTTATCGCCTAGCAGATACACTCTTGCACACTGACACGCTTTCCAGGGATTTGGAGCTCCGGCCATGGAAGTAGCAGGGTCGATGGAAGACATCAGGGCTCAGGGGTTTCGGTGCAGGATGGTTAAGCCTTCAGCATCAGACGTGCATAGGTGACCGACGTCCTCATGGAGTTTAAGCAGAAGAGTCGCAAGTGCGAGAGTCGTCGCATAGAAACGAATCGCTGCTCGTGGGAGCTTAGCAGACAACTTGGGTGCACTGCGGGTGCAGGGTCTGATAGTCACGTAATTGTCGTCTCATTGACGCTGGCAGGGCAAGGAGATTATAAAAGTGTTTTTAAAAGTACAGAACAGACTGCAGCACCGAACAGCACTTCGGTGACAAATTGATACTTATGGCTGCCGAGAAGCCATGGGCTGTTTGTAAGTCACTTGAGGTCACTGCAGCGTTTGCCGACTCGTTTGTCTTCCAAGGTCGCCTTTGCTGACCAGCTCATTCTTAGCAAGGCCGGTCTCGGAGGATATACATATACATATATACATAGACATATAAAATCATAATATATATATGTATATGCACCTTGCAGTGTCTTGTCCCGCCTTGCCCTGGCAGTGTGATCTGGCGGGTGCGGCCGTGGAAGAAGCTGTCGCCATGCTGGAGAACGCGAATCCGTTGGCCGAGGCTCCGCTCTCGTGTTCTCGTCTTGGCATATTCGGGCATGGTGAAAAGTCCTCGAAGCCTCAGATCCTGCGAACTTCGGAC